CTGAGCTCAAGTGATCCTCCCACTTCAGCTTCCCAGAGTGCTAGGACTACAGGTGTGAGCCACCAGGCCTGGCCATAAATTGAATTTCCATTGATTATTTAAAATGTTGCAAACCTTTTCAATCTTTCTTTTTCATGGATTGTCTCTATCTCTCCAACCCAGGCTGTTCCCCACAGGCACCTCATATTTGGCATGTCAAAAACCAACTTTTTATATGTCCTCCAAAGGGCTCCCCCTCCTGCCTTCTGTGCTCAGTGAATGACACTGCTCAGTCTCTGAAACCAGAACCCTAGAGAGGTCACTTACTCACCACATCCTGTCTGACACAGTCCTTTTCTTTCCTTAAATTTTAATTATAGGCTCAGTGCCTGTGGCTCAAGTGGCTAAGGCACCAGCCACATACACTGAAGGTGGCGGGTTCAAATCCAGCCTGGGTCTGCCAAACAACAATGATGGCTGCAACCAAAAAAAATAGCCAGGTGTTGTGGTGGAGGCTGAGGTGCCACGGCACTCTACTGAGGGGGACAGCTTGAGGCTCTGTCTAAAAAAAAAATTAATTACAGAAACCTGAACATGTACAAAAGAAAAGAAAGGAGTGTATGATGCTGAAGAGTCTCTGCAGTTTGAGTTCTCGGGGAAGAAGGCTTTGCGACGGACAGAGATTGCAGTTGACTTATTAGGGACGGCTTTTAGGGTCAACGTGCAGAAGGGGCCAAGTGAGGTGGCTCACATCTGTAATTCTAGCACTTTGGGAAGCCAAGACAGGAGGATCACTTGAGCTCAGGCGTTTGAGACCAGCCTGGGCAAGAGCAAAATTCCATTTCTACAAAAAGCAGCCAGGTGTGGTGGCTCATGCCTGTAGTCCCAGTTACTTGGGAGGCTGAGGTAGGAGGATTGCTTGAGCTCAAGTGTTTGAGGTTGCAGTGAGCTGTGATGAGCAACAGAGTGAGCCTCTACCCTCCAAAAAACAAACCCAAACCAAAAAATAGCTGTAGAAGGGAAAATACAGAAGTGGGCAGCAGGAGAAACAGAGCTAAGGTGCAGTCCCAAGGGAGGCCTTCAGTAGCCCTAGGGGGATTGGGATGCTCTGGATACTTGGCCCACGTTACAGGGAGAGGTGGGGGCCCTCACACCCCTATACTGACCAGTCTTTGGCTGTGGGCTGCCCCCAGGAGCCATGACCTGTAGTAAGGCAGTTTTCTTCAGCTGAGACAGTCCCCAGAGAAGACTGACAGCTGACAGCTGCTGCACCTCCAGACCTCCAGAAGCCAGGAGAGTTTGTTTCATTCTGGAGAAGCCTGATGTCTCATTACCACAGTCCCCGCTTCGGCGGTTATCACCTCATGGATGATCTTTTCTTCATCCGTGCCTCTACACACTTTCCCCATTATTTTGAAGCAAATCCAAGAAATCACATAATTTGCAAATAAATATGTATCTAAAAATATATATTCTTTTTTGACACAACCACAATACTATCATTAATATCACACCTAAAAATTGAGCAACAAATTTCTTAATAGTGATATCCGAAATCCAGACAGTATTTTTGTTTTTGCTCTAGATGAAAGATTGATCTCTTCAGTACACACTCTCTCTCCCTGCCTTATCAGGTCTTGCCTGGGTTTCCTCCCTCTCTCCTTTCATCTGTCCTGTCCCCACCACACTACGATGTTGCCAAATTCATCTAAAACAAAACTATCATTATATCATTCTATATTTAAAATTCCCTCAATGGGAATAATATAATGAATCCAGAACAGTAGTTGTCCTTGGGGGCAGAATGCCAAAGGACTTTACTTTCTGCATAATTCATTTCTGTATCTTTCTGACATTTCATAGGGATTATGAATTCTTTGTTAAGAATCACATCAACATGCCCATCTAAAAAATGAAGAATTTTAAATGTAGTGGCCATGATTGTCTTTAGATGAGAGTTCAAATGCTTATTTGGTGTTAAGGCCAAAATTGTGATAAGTTTATATACTGAAATCAAGCAGTCAGAAAACATAAGGAAGGAAAAAACACCAAATACGGCATTCAGGAACATAAGGTATATAAGAAAAATCCAACAGAAGGCTGGCCCATGCTTGTAATCCCAGCCCTTTGGAAGGCTAAGATAGGAGGACTCCTTGAGCCCAGGGGTTTGAGACCAGCTTGGGCAACATAGCCAGATGCCATCATTACAAAAAATAGAAACATCAGCTAGGCATGATGCATGTCTGTAGTCCTAGCTGCTTGGAAGGCTGAGGCTGGAGGATTGCTTGAGGCCAGAAGTTTGAGGTTGCTGTGAGCTATGATGGTGCCATAGCACTCTTGCCTGGAGCCTGGGAACAGAGCAAGACACTGTCTTTTTTATTCGTTCATTCAGACACAGAGTCTCACTCTATTGCTCTACTCAGAGTAGAGCCCCAGACTACTCTGGTGCTCAAGTGATCCTCCTGCCTCAGCCTCCTAAGTAGACTGGACTAAGGTGCCTGCCACAATATCCAGCTAAGTTTTCTATTTTTAGTAGAGATGGGGTCTCACTTTTGCTCAAGCTGGTCTCAACCTCCTGAGCCCAAATGATCCTATTGCCTTGGACTCCTGGTGTTCTAGGATTACAGATGTGAGCCACCGCACTTGGCCTAAGACAATGTCCTTAAAAAAAGAAAAGAAAGAAAAATCCAACAAAAGGTAGGTAAAAAGTTCCAGGAGAAAAATTATGAAACTTTATTAAAGATGCTGGGTGACTTAAAGAAATGTTTATGGATAGAAAGACTCAATATGATAAAGGTGTTTTTCCTTCCCAAATTGACCTATAGATTTAATGCAATTCAATCAAAATCCCAAAGGCATTATTAGAGAAATTAGATTAATCAAATTAGAAAATTTATATGAAAAAGCAAAAGTCCAAGAATAATCAAGACACTCCAGGGCCAGGTGCAGTGGCCCATGCCTGTAATCCCAGCACTGGGGAGGCTGAGATGAGTGTGAGATGGGGGCCTGCAGCCTCATCACCCCCACAAGATGGATACCGCCTGCCATGGACTGGCACCAGGGGACTGTGTGGGATAAAAGATGAAAAGACAAAAAGATGAGAATATCATAACTCTGACATGATGACGGGCAGCATTACTCTTAGATCAGTCTGGATCGGGTGGAACAGGACAAGATCAGAACGAATGGGCCAAGTACTGTCACGATGAGAGTTAACGGGCTAAGTGCTGTGACAAATTGTTTTACTTATCCATTAGTTGCTAGATCTGCATTATGTTACCTTATTGTTATCTAACTGCCGTTACGTTACCTATTGCCTAAACTGCTATAGTGCAAGGTTCACTTCTGTAAAGGGGACATGTGACCCCGTGCTTGCTTTTTACTTCTTTTGCCAACTTTCTTTTTGCTTCTAATTGCTAACTTTCAGCCCACCTGTTTGGCCCTTTGCCAACTTTTAGACTAGAAAAACCCCAACTTCAGACCCTCAACGTTATCTCACTTAGTCTGCATCACACTTTGCTGAGACAGCCCCTAGGTTACTAAAAGACTCTTTTTGAAATTCTAATTTGAGTCAGTGGTCCTTATCTCGCCCCATAACAAGTGGATTGCCTGAGCTCACAGATTCGAGACAAGGCTGAGCCAGAGTGAGACCTTGTCTCTGAAAATAGCTGAGTGCCTGTAGTCCCAGCTACTTGGGAGGCTGAGGCAAGAGAATTAATTGCTTAAGCCCTGGAGTTTGAGGTTGCTGTGAGCTATGAGGCCATGGCACTCTACCAAAGGTGACAAAGTGAGACTCTGTCTCCAAAAACAAACAAACAAACAAAAAAACACTCCTGAAGAAGAAAAAAAGACATTTTCTTGCCAGACATGATTCTTTGGAAAAGCTATAGTAATTACTAGAGTACGGTATTAGTGTAGCGAATTCTAAGTAGATGGTAGCCTCAGAAACAGACTGAAGCTGGAGCGAATTCTGATGTCCTCTTATTGTGGCTTAATTGTTTCAGTTTTCAACTGAGGGGAGGTTGGGGGATTCCAGGGGAGGGGCCCAAGTTGCCCAAGTGGCAAGACTGAGGGTGGAAAGTAGGCTCAAGATAGTAACTACTAACGATAATAGAAAACTGTAGTTTGGTATTTTAACAAAGTACAGAGCCTGATGGGTATACCATTGTGTACTGGTGCAACTAATCTTGCGCACTTGAAATATGACAGAAGTGACTTCAGATCATTGAGAAAGGATGGACTGACTATTCAATAACAGGTGCACGAAAATCTTACATATGGAAGATGCATATACACATGTATGGTTATACATATGGAAAAAAGTTAAATTGAATCCTTACACCACACATAGAAATCATTTTTAGAAGTATTACAGTAGATTAAAAGTGAAAGGCAGTACTTTAAAACTTTTGGAATAAAATGGGGACGGAGATGTTGGCAGTCTGCTATGGTCTGAAATGTTCCCCCACATTCATGAGCTGAAACTTAGCTGCCAATATGACAGTATTAAGAGGTGGAGCCTTAGGAGATGATTAAGTCGTGAGAGCCCCGCTCTCAGGAACGGGATTAGCAGGACTTTATAAACGGCTGGAGGGAACTAGCCGGGTTTCTTTTGTCCTCTCGCTGCTCCACCACGTGACAACAGAGCAACAAAGCCTAGCCTGGAAGCAGAAAGCTCATCTTCAAAGCACCAGATCTGCTGGCACTTGGGTTCTGGGTTCTGGGATCTGGGACGTTGGCAGCCTCCAGACTGTGAGAATAAATGTCCCATGGAATTCTGTTATAGCAGCAGGAATAACTAAGACACGAGATTTGTGTGCTTTTATACAACTATTATGTACCCATAATAAACACGTATGCAAATTACGCATGCGCAGAAGGTTCACGACCGCTCGCCCGGCCCCAGATAAGGGCGGAGCCAAACACGCCGGATGATGCGTCACGGAGCGCGCGTGCGTCGCGTCCTAGGGGGCGGGATCTAGCGTGGCTTTCTCCGAGGCTGCTGCCGGCCAGGTGCAGAGAGTGTCTTCCTCGGCGGGATGGGGACGACTCCCGGCTTGAAGGCCGACTGCGAGGCGCTGCTCAGCCGCTTTCTGGAGACCGACAGCGTGCGCTTCGAGGACTTCACGGAGCTCTGGAGGAACATGAAGTTCGGGACCATTTTTTGGTGGGTGTTTCTCGTCCACTGCCTGCCTCTGCGTGCTGCCGACGGGCTGGGTAGAAAGCGGCTTCGTTCCCTACCGTCCTCCCCCTCCAGGGAAGGGGAGCGAAGGGCGCGTCTCCAAAGGCTGCCCCCGTCTCTGCGGGACCGTCGCCTGTGCTCAGCCTGCGCGCTTTCCTCGGGCCATTTCCCTGGGCCTGAGATTGCGTCCCCTTTGAGGCCTCTCTGCCTCTGTCCCTTCTCAGCTCCTCTCTCCGCCTGCACCTGCCTTCGCCCAGACCGGGGGCCCTATCACCTCCTCCAGCTTTGTTCTTCCAGAACCCCACATTTAAAAACAACACACACGAAGACACAACTTTAAGCGATTGAATTTATTTTATTTATTTTTTAAATTGACAGTTTTCATTTTTAAATTATGTATTTAATTTTTTTTTTGAGACAGTGTTTCACGTTGTCCCCCTTTAGAGTGCCTGGCGTCACAGCTCACAGCAACCTCAAACTCCTAGGCTCAAGCGAACCTCCTGCCTCAGCCTCCCAACTAGCTAGGACTACCGGCGCCCTTCACAACGCCCGGCTATTTTTTAGAGACGAGTCTCCCTCTGGTTCAGGCTGGTCTCCAACCTGTGCACTCAGGCGATCCACCGCCTCGGCCTCTCAGGGCGCCTTACAGGCGTGAGCCTTAGTGCCTGGCCCTGTTAATTTTAACACAGCAACCGAGATGTCTTTATAACGTGCACATCTGCTGGTGTCACCCCCCTGCCTACAGCCCTTTGGTAGTTCCTTTGGGATAAAGCTGGCAAGACTGTTGGTCACTATTCTCTGGCCATTTCTCTAGACTTACCTGCTAGTTCCTTTCAAGCATTCGCTTTCTTCCAGCAACTGCGTTTGGCTCTTTACGGGTATTTCCTAAGCCTGAAGGTGTGTGTGACAACCCCCCCACCCCCCGCCCCGGCCCCATTCCATTTGCTTTTCTGCCTTATTCTTCACTCACATTTAAGCCCAAATGACAATTCCTTAGGAAAATTTTCTTTAGCAAAGAAAGAAAAAGTATTGCAGAAAATGTCCATTATGTATTAAAATAAACAGTTCTTGATTCTGTAGAATAATTATTATTTTAATATTAGATGTGACCACTTAATCAGTAATATTTGAACCCCTTCCTTGGTCTCCCATTGGGAAGTTGAAGTTGATGTTTTGGGGAGCTGCATCATGTTTACTTAGTAGTTGCCTCTACCTCATTGTAAGACGCCCAGCGGAACATTAGCTCTCTGTGGTTGAATCATGAAAGAATCAGGTATGGAATCCCTACCTGATTATAAGCAACTCCTTTTTAAACAAGTGTATACCTCTTGTGGCTTTTTTCATTACGTATTCCATAATGAGTCATATTTTCTCTTTGTTTCCTAGTGGGAGAATGAGAAATTTAGAAAAGAACATGTTTACAAAAGAAGCTCTAGCTTTGGCTTGGCAGTACTTTTTACCTCCATACACCTTCCACATCAGAGTTGGTGCTTTGTATCTGCTATATGGATTATATAACACCCAGCTGTGTCAACCAAAACAAAAGGTAATAGTGGGTGAGTTGTTTTCCCTTAGCAGAAATGTGAAAGAGGTACTCTATTTTTATAATATGTGATTAAACATGACTTAAATAGAAATACCAGTATTCTTTTTGCTTGTTTTATATCGCCCATTTACATTTATTGATCATTGAAACCCCTCGCATACAAAAGATAATGACAGATGGAAAAACTAGAATGCTGAAGAGTGCGGGCCTGTTGGGAGGGAAGGGGCCGGGTACCAGTTCCCAGGTTAAACCCATAGGCAGCTCCATGCAGAGCTTGTGGGCCTAAGGGCAGAGAGGATGCTGGACCTCTGGAGCCACTTTGAAATTGACATTTTTCTCAATCAAGAAGTTACTTATTTCCATGTAGTTTGATTTAGCCATTTTATGGACCATCATCTGGAAATGCCAGAATTTTAAAATTGCAATACATTTGTAAAAACAAGACTAACATTTACTACAACTGTTTGATTCTTTTCGTTGCAGATCAGAGTTGCTCTGAAGGATTGGGATGAAGTTTTAAAATTTCAGCAAGATTTGATCAATGCACAGCATTTTGATGCAGCTTATATTTTTAGGAAACTACGACTAGACAGAGCATTTCACTATACAGCAATGCCCAAATTGGTAAGTTGCCTATAATAATTTTGGTTTTTCAAAATGAAAAATTACACTTTATTGTCCATAAAACACCTCAATCTCCAGAAAATGGAATGAATATTATCAGTGTTCAAGACTTGTAGCCTTCTTAAAATAGAAGAAAATATTTTCTAGTTTTTTTTTTCGCTGTAAACATACATTTAACCTCTGCTTTTAAATGTTTTTGGATGCCACATATTATGCAAATAGTTGTGAGAAGAAATTAGATTTGGCGCCTGCATTTCTTTGCTCATACCTCTCTTTATTCAAACATTAGAAAGGTTGATAAAGAGAGGACCAAGAAATTTTAATAAATCATTTGTGAAAAGTTGAAACTTCTAGTAAATTTTCTTATTCCTTCAATCATGACGGTTGAGACTAGGTTGGAAGAGCACTAGATCTGGTTTTGCCCTTCACTAGCAAATGATGCACTTTCTCTGAATCTCATCTAAATTTGTAAGCGTGTGGCGTGGGATCTACAAGGATAGTTGAGACATAATTCTTTGGAAAATAGATATTTAACAAATACACATTTTCAGCTGCTTTTGTTTCACTGTGTTTATTGATAGACAGTTTTTGCTGCTGGCTTATGTTTTAGTCCTTGAAAAATACTCTTTAAAAGGAATTCATTGTAAAAGACATTCTTTATCATAGCTGTCATACCGAATGAAGAAAAAAATTCAACGAACTGAAGTTACAGAAGAATTTAAGGACCCTGATGATCGTGCAATGAAACTTATCACTTCCGATGTATTAGAGGTAAACTTACTTTTGTGCCCTTGAATTTTTTAAATTATTTATTTGCCAACTATATGCTGAGGTTATACCTTCATCTACTGGCTACTAACAATTTTTCTAATGATTTTAACCAATCATAGAAGGCTATTTTTCTGAAGAACCAGGAAAAAGCTCCTAATTATATCAAGATTTATAAATCTTGGCTTGGTGCCTGTGGCTCAGGCGGCTAAGGCGCCAGCCACGTACACCTAAGGTGGCGGGTTCGAATCCCTAGCAAGCCTTGGAGACAACAATGATGGCTGCAACCAAAAAATGGCCAGGCGTTGTGGCGGGCGCCTATAGTCCCAGCTACTTGGGAGGCTGAGGCAGGAGGCTCGCTTGAGCCCAGGAGTTGGAGGTTGCTGTGAGTTGTGATGCCATGGCATTCTACCCAGGGGGATAGCTTGAGGCTCCGTCTAAAAAAAAGATTTGTAAATCTTTATTGTACCTTATTTATTTATTTTTGAGACAGGTTTCATCCTGTGGCTTTGGCTAGAGTATAGTCATGTCACCATAGTTCCTGGGCTGAAGTGATCCTCTTGCCACTTGAGTAGCCGGGACTATAGGTCCCCACCACCACACCGGGCTAATTTTTCTATTTTTAGTAGAGACAATTCTTGGCTCTTGCTTAGGGTAATCTCAAATGCCTGAACTTAAGGGATCTCCCACCTTCTGGGAGTGCTAGGATTACAGGCATGAGCCACCATACTGCTTGTAGCACTTATTTTAAAACTCTCCATTGAAAACAATGACTATTATTTTGGTAAAGCAAAATTTGAAATGAGGCGTTGTGGATAAGAGTTTTGGTCTTAAAACAACTTCATCATGTCTGATATAGTTTAGTATTTAAGTTGTACAGTATTGAGAGAATCTTCTTTTTCATGGATAAGTAGTGGTACCTGCAGGCTACATGGAGAAACCTCGCCTTGAGGCTGTAACAGAATCCCATGGGATTCTATACACCTTCTAATCAAGGACATTTCAAAAGAATATGGGAGGAAACACATCGGTCATGTTTTTAAGTTTCTTTGAGCCATAGTTTCTCCCTCAGTACAAGGATTCCAGTCTTCATTCCATCCAGTTGTTGTGAGGACTGGTGAGATGTCTGAGTAGGAGTGGGTGTGGCATAGGACACACAGTGGATCCTCAGTCCCAGCCCTGTTCAGTATTTTCCTATATCAAGAATGAAAGAGGGATTGGACCTGTGATTTGTCAAATCTTTCCTTAGATGCCTATGTGTTTTTGATAGCATTAGTCTGTCAGGTTGCATCTACATTCCCATAATTCAGGTAGGAAATTGTTATTTGAGAGTCCCTTGGGTCTGTTCTGTAAAGTGACTTTGCTTTTGAGCAAGGATTCTTAATCTGGGGCTCATGGCGGCCTTCAGATGGTCCAGGTACTCCACGCTAAATCACGTGAATTTGAGTACTTTGTTAGGGTGTGGTACCATAACTATTCTCAGATTCTCAAAGGTGTTCGTCACCCTAGCAGTTTAAGAATTACTGGATTACAAGGAAATTAATGTTCACTGAATGTCTGAAGGCATAGTGTGATGCAGGAGCTGTGCAGGGTGTTTTTTTTTTTTTCTTTGCAACAGAGTCTCACTATGTCACCCTGGGTAGAGTGCTGTGGTGTTAACAGCTCACAGCAGCCTCAAACTCTTGGGCTTAAGTGATTCTCTTGCCTCAGCCTCCCAAGTAGTTGGGACCACAGATGCCTGCCACAGTGCCCACCTATTTTTTTGTTGTGATTGTCATTATTGTTTTAGCTGGCCTGGGCCAAGTTCGAACATGCCAACCTCAGTGTATGTGGCCGGCGCCCTAACCACTGAGCTACAGGCGCCACTAGTGCAGGTTGTTTTGTGTAGATTATTTCTACAACATTCCTACAAAACAGGTGTTTTTTTTAACAATTTTTAATTATTGTTATTTTTTGAGGAGGTTATTTTTAATTCCTGATTTAAAGTTGGGGAAACTGAGGTCCAGGGATCCCAAAGAAGTATTGGAGCTAAGATTCATGCTTAATCTTTGTATGGCTGCACTGCCTGTGTGTTAGACAGCAAGGCAGTGATGTGGGGTGGGACTGGGGTTAGAAGTAGATGGTTCAGCAAACAGATGAGTGTCTGCAGTATAACAAGAACTAAGATCTTTGCTCTCTAGCAGCTTAGTGAGAAAGAGGTGGGAGAGATTATTTGTACATGAATAAATGCAATAAAAGTACTTTGTATGATACAAGGCATTTGTATTCTGTCTTTTTTAGCGGAGAAGAATCATTGAAAAGTTTTAGAGATTGGGGAGACTTTTAAAATACATGTTTAGACTTAGTGTAAGGAGCAAGTTGGGAGGAACAGCAGTGTAGAGGAGAGGCAGTGAGCAAGGTTCCTGCTCTGGAGGAGGTGGCTGGGCTGTGGTCAGCTGGAGGAATTAGCCCTGAGCAGGAGAAGCATCCTTCTTCCTTTGAAACTTGAGGGAGGGAAGTGAGAATGAACCCTTGTAATTCTTTGTGTAGATGAGAAATGGAAGGCAAACGGACCTGGTAGCCTAAACTGAAAGAAAGGGCCAGGGAATTTAAGGAACTGAGAGTTGAGAGTCTGGAATAGCCATTGTGGAGAGCAGAGGAGAGAGTTAGAGATACCAGGAAGGGTTTGCCAAGAGTGCGGATCGTGGGGAGAGGCTGAGGACATCTCTGAGCAGAAAGACATTGTTCTTATTATTCTCCTAATGAAAAAGACAATTTGAACCTGGTCAGTTATAATTTCCAACTATACACTAATTTGGTAGTGGGTTGTAAGTATTTTTTCAACATATCTTTTTAAACATGCTTTTTCACTTTGAGCTCTTTTAAGCTAAGGGTAATGCAAAAAGGTATACTCTATTTTAAAGTGAATGGAGAGGACAGTCAGAGGTCCAGGTGATGAAGTGCCTACATCTGGAAGCTTCTAGACGTAGTGTGTGAGAAGTCCTCCTGGCTCCGTCCAGGTCCCAGGCTTGCCCCATTCTGCGCTGAGCATGTTGGCCCTCAGCACTTCTGGCTCCATTTCTCCCATCCTGGCAGGACCTGTGACCCATTCTCACTGATAATTCTGAAACTTAACACTTTTCTGTTTTCTGTCTACTGCCTGCAACTGTTACTGAGTGTTTGTGTAAGAAGATCTGAATTCTGGGTGTGATTCTGCCCCTTGTTCTAGTTTTTTTTTTTTCCCTTAGAGACAGAGTCTCACTTTATCAGCCTGGGTAGAGTGCTGTGGCATCATAGCTCACAGCAACCTCCAACTCCTGGGCTTAGGCAATTCTCTTGCCTCAGCCTCCTGAGTAGCTGGGACTATAGGTTGTTCTAGTTTTTTGTTTAAGGAAACGTAATAAGATGAAAAGAGAATAGTTACTGAGTCAAAATAACTGATTTCTTATTCTACTTCTGCTACTTTAGTGGGAACTTGAGCAAATTATTTCATTTCTGAGTCTTATTTTTTTCATTTATCTAGTTATCACAGTGGTTAGGTAATAGGAATTATGCTAGATGCTTAATACATTATTTCACTAATCATCATGGTAACTGCATACAAGATGATGTTTTACCAATTTTAAAAAACAAAGAAACTGAGGTTTAGAGAAGTTAAGTAGTTTGCATAAGGTAAGGTGTGTAAGATACAGACATAGGATTTGTATGTCTGAATCCATAAGGCTTCAGAGTTTATGCATTATTTTTTATTTCTTACTCCTTTAATATCTTTCTTAAGAGTGGAGTCTTTGGCTTGGCGTCTATAGCTCAACCGGCTAAGGCGCCAGCCACGTACACCTAAGGTGGCGGGTTCGAATCCCCAGCCTGGACCCG